ATGCCCTCTCGTGTCCTCCACGGGCACCAGACATGCACATTATGGACATATATTTGTGCAAGCAAAGCATTCATACACAAAATAAAAATAAATCTTAAAAAGATAGAGATGTAAATGAGTGCACATGCGTGGATAAACATAAGACTGGAAAAGGCCTGACTATCCAGAAGAACTCCGATAAAGCAATGCCAGGGTAGAGAGCCATGTCATCTAATGAAAAGACATTAAAAACTACTACCAAGACACATTTGTATCACCAAATAAAGCAAAGCAGAGAACAGAACAGTCATTGAAGAAATTATCACCAAGAGGATCCAGGCAATGTGAAAAGAGCGCTATGTTTACAGTGAAAGGTGTTTTCAATAACAAAACTGACCCCGGTCTTCTATCTTATGTAAACAAACAAACAAAATCCTCATAATTAATTATAGATCTAACTCTAGAACCTAAAATTACAAAATTCTAAAGCAAATATCAGAAAAATATCTATGGTGTTGAATTGGGCAAAGATTTCTTAGATAACACCAAAAACAAAAGAAAGAAAAACATGAAGAATTGGATTTCCATTGAAGTTGAAACCATACTTTGAAAAATATATTAAGTGAATGAAAACACAAGACTGAGAAAAAGGAATTTTCAAATTCAGTAAAAAGAAAATAACCCCCAGAACAGGGTGAAAATTTTGAACAATTACCAAAGGAGGAATCATCAGGCAATTACAAATTTAAGCCAAAATAAATACACATTGATCCAGCTTAATCTGTCAGCTAAAGTGCAGAGGAATGAGATTCCACTAAGATTATAAAATGGGATAAGTACTTTGTAAAACAGCAGTCAAGTTCTTTAAAAGTTAAACATCTATCTTCTATATGTTCCAGCCATTCTATTACAAATTCACCCCAGAGAAACCAAAGGACGGATACTCTATAGGTATTCTTAGTAGCCTGGGCTGTTATGCTGGAAACTCTACAGATGCGGAATCACCTCCCACTGTAGTAAAGACAGCAGCCATCTCAGATCACAGGAACATAAGCCATACTGGGAAGCGTAAGTGAAGTAAACGAACTTCACACCCTATTCTTTCTTGTTAACTAGATGAGAGGGGAAAGAACAGACTGCAGGAGCAGGGGCCAAAAGCTCGCAATCTCATCACCAAGCCCCATGAAGTCAGACAGGAACCAAATTTGTCAATTCGCTACTGCCTGATACAGAGCATTAATAATAATTGACTATCTCTCAGGCATGGGGTAAGGATTGGCAAATAAAAACAACTACAGCAGAGTTAAAGCAGGGAACTGTTTCTAAAAAAGCTCTGTTTGCTTGCTGCCCAGCGACTTTTAGACTTAAAAACAAGTTTGAGTTTCAGAGATGAACTAATACATTAGCAGAGAAACTTAAGAGACCTAAGCAGCCCTCAGAGGAAAGCTACTACTGCGTGACTTCGCACGCAGCCCACTCCTAACGAGCCCTCCCTTCCTCTCCCCACAGGCACAGGTTCCTCCAACCCCACCTTCGAAGGAGCCATCACAGCAGTTCTGCTCACTGAAAAATGAAGCTATTTTGGTTCTTTGACAGGCTGCCAACCTAGGACCTGGAGACACGCAGGCTGCCATCTGCTTCATCCCAGCTGTTCTGACCTGTCGCCTGCTATCTGCCAGGTCAGCTGAACAACTGCTGAAGGACGTTGGAGGCCACGACACAGATGGATGAACGTGCGACCCCACCATAGCCAGTCTCCCGACTTAGCCTTCCTCTCATTACTGGGCAGCATGCTGTTCTCCATGACAACACAGGAGTCTGACTCTGGGAAAAAAGTCCGTCCCCAAATCTCTAGAGCTTTTTGTACTGTGTGGTAATGGATTCAACATTCACCACAGTTTTTCTAGAAACCACAGGCCCCTTTAGAACTGTAAAATTCTCAACAGAGAATAAGCTGTATAGCTGGAGAGGCCTGTCACCCTTCAGGAAGGATCATTCTGTTGCAGATTAGACAGCCTCTGGGGCCTGCAGAGTCTTCTCACCCACCTCACTGGGACTGACTATACCCAACCTTTCATTTGGAGACAGGGTACCTATCAGTCACGCACTTGCCTTCCTTCACAGGGCAAGCTGGAATAAGAAAATAAAGTATCTGTATGAAAAGAAAACAAAGATAGAATATCTCAAAAGGCCTGCAGGAAGAAGCAGGACGAAGACCAGCAAAAGAATCTATGGCTCACAAGCTCTCTGAGGAGGTCCTCAACCTTTCGTATTTTACACTGTGAGCCCTCTGGCAGGTGTGGACCCTTCTCCACATGGGTTTTTTCACAACTGAACCCAATTACATGAGAGACAGTTATCAAGACACTAAGAAGTTCCAGGTAAGGCATCATTAAGCGCCGCACCATCCGCGCTGGGACCCCGGAGCCAGGAGCAGCCTAACACCGGCTTCTGAGCTGTGATGAGCAGTTTTTGGAATTCTGCTACAAATGTGATATGATTTAAAAAAAGAAAAAGTCAATGACTTTAATTGGTGAGAAAGACAAATGCTTCAAATAGTGCCGGCATCTGTCATCTATACTCATAGTCAAAGAAAATGCTAAGCATTATTGAAAGATGAAAATGTGACTTTTATGCTTACCCAATGTGCAGATCTCTATAAAATGCTCTCTGCAGACTCCAATACAGAAAGTAGCAGGAGGTATGGCTTCTCTGGCAGAGGCCTGTGGCAGCACAGTGGGGCCTCTCAAAGTTCTCATTTCAGTACCTACGCCCCAGGTGTCTCAGAGGGTCCCAGGACCACGCCTAGAAGAGCTTGTGTGTGCACACTCTCGGGCCGGTTTCCCCAGCCTCCCAGTCAAACCACACCCACTCTGAGTACCCTGAGCCTCTGCCTCAGGTCCTACTGTCCCCATGCCATACATGAGCCGAAGTTTCTGCCACACCAGCCACTGTTGGTGCTCCTGGCACGACCTGTTTTCCGAGTGTTGGCTCTCACTTAGCTTTAGCCTTCTCACTGTCTGAATCACTTCCATTCTTGCTGATTTTCCCGTCAGCGGTAGAGTATCACTGTTTTCAGGTTTCTGTCTACACACAGGCTGCCTTAAACACCCTAGTTTGCTGTGGTAACGAGAGCACCCACTCCTTTTCCTCCACGTTTCCTTTTCTACCATGAGCAGAGGATCCCAGTGTCGCTGGCTCCCAAGAGCAGTGCAGGGCCCACAGCAAATGTCCAGATGTTTGTTGTCCCTCCTGCTGCCTCAAAAGTAACCCTTCTATAAAGATCCCTGGTACCCCGCGAAGCTGGAGTTCCCAAGCTTTCATGTCTGTGATGTTTGGAGATTTCAAATGTTCTCCAGGGATGAGAAGATGAGAAGGGGGTGTGTGCCATAAGTCCTGGGACCTGCTGCTACCGTGCCCAGATTCCACGGCAGAAAGTCCATCAGCTCTCTACCGGTCAGTTACGACATGATGGTGGCTACAGGCTGTGTCAAGGGAGGAGGTAAGCTTATGCCATGGGCAGCAATAAGTTTTACTATAAGCCAATGCTTCTCAACCTTCCTAATGCTGCAACCCTTTAACACAGTTCCTCATGTTGTGGTCAATGCCAACCAAAAATTATTTTCATTCATAAATATAATTTTGCTACTCTTATGAATCATAACGTAAATATGTGCTTTAAGATGGTTTTAGGCAACCCCTGTGATAGGGCCACTCAACCCCCAAAAGGCCATGACCTACAGGTTGAAAACCACTGCTCTAAGTGACGGAATACCTCAGGAAGTAAGAAATGCTGCCTGCTAGCAGGATAACCGGGAGCTGTGGGCTATTTAAGATTAAGAAGTTGCTGGATATTTCTTCATGTTAGGCAAGGGATCTGAAGGTCATTTTGAGAGGTCGAAAGTCCATCTGTAAGGTGTTAGCCCAACAATTGCAGAAGGCCTACCTCAGAGCATCAGCTCTATGGTGTCCAAGCTTAACCTCTGACTCTACTGGAGAGAAACACCAGGAGTTCACAGTTTCTAATTGCCAATGTTTATAGAAGCTTTCCTGAGGCCTTAATATGTTTTGTACATTCTCCGAGACTGGGAAGCAGACATTTAGACAATGAGCAAGCATCACTATCACTATCCTTGCCTGGTTTTGTACATTCTCCGAGGCTGGGAAGCAGACATTTAGACAATGAGCAAGTATCACTATCACTGTCCTTGCCTGGTTTGCCCAACTCTCACACACGGAAAAGTATTCACTATGTCACAAAAAAAAATGTTTCTTAAAAAACAAAAAGCTGAGAAAACAAGCTAATTTTCTTGATAAAGAACAGAATTTTTTAAAAAAGATACCTTAATAAGAGCATTAGTTTTGATTAAAGCAAATGACGAGATGCCAAGACAGCAGCGTAGATTTGAAGCAAGCAACAGTCTTATATACATGGTCTACACGAAGACAGAAACCAGCAACTGGTGTAGGAGGTCCTTCTGTCTATATGTTGCTTTCATTGTTTAATAACAGAACTGCTTTTGGCCTATAGCAGAGCTGTAGGGGACAGAGCTAGGCGGGAAAAACTAAATGGAATGCTGGGAGGAAGAAGGCAAAGTCAGAGAGAAATGCCATGGAGCTGCCGGAGATAGATGCTGGAAATTTTACCCAGTAAGACACAGCCTCATGGCAATACACAAATTAATAGAAATTGGTTAAACTAATATGTAAGAGTTAGCCAATAAGAAATTAGAGCTAATGGGCCAAGCAGTGATTTAAAGAATATAGTTTCTGTGTGATTATTTTGATTCTGGGCGGCCAGGACAAACAAGCGGCTCCTTGCTATAAGTAACTATATGAATCTTCTGTTAATGCTCTAGACCACATGCAACTGGGTTCAATCACTCTCTCTCTCTCTCTCTCTCTCTCTCTCTCTCACACACACACACACACACACACACACACATTTCTCAGTACTACAGAAGAAGAAAAACACCCAGTGTTAGAAGTGGGTGTGTAGCAGAGGTGGGCAGGGAACTTACTTGTAAAGATAGTACTCTGCAGAATCTATATCTTCTCGAGATGAAATGTTGTCCACAAACTAAAGGAAAAAAAAAACCTTTGTTAAATACAAATTATGCCACGTTTGGTCGAGTTCATACACTGATCTTTAAAGACATGTACTCTTTTTTTGGGGACATGGTCCCATGGTATGGTTCCTTTCTGAAAACCCATCACATTGGTGAGAACAAATCAGATACCATAGCTTCTCCTCTATGTATAGCACAACGGTGGTCCAAAACAAAACCACCAAAAGGCAAGCACCCAGGAAAAGCCAAACCCGCCCTTGTTCACACAGGAGGAGAGCTCTGCACAATACTGTTTACAGCTATCATCACCTTTGTCCCTGTCTCTCCTCCAAACACACGGAATATGTAGTGGAAATGGTGGGGACGTTAAAGGCTGGAACAATACTGTTCAGAGCATAGCATCTAAGTGTAGAGAATTCGGTGTGTAACCACTTTGACTCTGACTTTACAGTTGGTATGGAACTATCACTTTAGGACTGGAGGCTTCAGGCTATAAAATCGACTAAGCTTTGGGCCTAGGGATGCAGCTCACTGGTAAAGAGCACTTGACTAACGTTTATGAGGCTCTTGGTTCAATCTCCAGCACTTGAGAAGAAAAAGTGGAAAAATCTGTACGTTCCTTACCTATGATCTGAATGAGCAGAAACTATTATCCAAGGATGGATTCTGCTCTCAAGTAGGCAATCAGAAGAGGAAGAGAGAGGAAGAGCCCAGGGATGCTGAGAGTGTAACCAGAACCCCATAAAGAGAGAGAGAAGGGAGGAAAAAGGGAGACTTTCTAAAAAGAATCAGGACCTATGGGTTTGATTTAGAAATCCATTAAAGGGCAGATAACATGTGGTCCAAACACAGGCCCTGTGCTGGAGAACCAGCTCTCCTGAGAGCTTGCTGTGGCACAAACAGATGGCACAGGCCCTCTGGGACTTCCTTGCTCCATCTGTATAAACAGCTACAGGCTTCTGCCCTGAGGAGTTTGAGTCTCAGGCTGGAGCATGCACCCACACAAAAGCTCATTGAAGTTCCAAGTGTTGCCTGAACAAAAACCAGACATTACAGTCCACAGACAGGTGCCACCCTCAAAACCATGGTTTCCCAGTTCTCCACTCTGACAGACAGGAGTCCCTTAAAACCAAATGATGACAGTGGAACTGCCTCCCTATGAAGAGGTCAAAGGCAGAGAGGAAGGACAGGACTGGAAGGCAAGAGCTCTCCTTCCCCTCCCACTGGAGGAGCCTGTCACCTCCAGCCTGGTAACCTGGAGTCACCATCGAGACGGGACCAACACATCCCGCCTTTGATGTTCCCGCCTTTCTTCTTGGAAGCTGTGTTGGATGTGGAGTTACCTACACCATGCTCCTGTGCAAACGAACACACATGATGCATGGTAAGAAACTAGAAGAGTGACCGCCACGGAAGGGCTCCAGAGTGGCTCCACCGTGACTGGTCCCGACTGCCGCCTGATCTCCTCCTCCCCGCTATCCAGGCAGTTTAATGTCAGCAGCCACTCTTCCACAGATGGTGGTCAGCTACTGAACCGTGTTTTCTGCTCTCACACTAGAGGACATAGTAACTTTAAAAACACGAAATAATGTAACCAGACGAAAAAACAAAGCAGCGATTGCTAACTTGAGTCTGGTGTGTTTATTTCCTTTCACTTCAGCCACTACATCATACAATATCTGTTGTAATTATAAAAACATACTGCACTGTGGGAAGACAGTTCCCATGGTGACCACTACTTCTACAACACTGCCTTGTCTACAGTCTGCTTGTCTCCTTCTTTGAAAACACGTTTGAAATGTTCCTACCTGTGGCACTGCTAAAGAATTAACAGGCTACTTTCTTTTAAAATGGTCTTACCCGAGATATTGACAAAGAACTAACAGGCAACTTCCTTTCATATGCTTTGTCCATTAACGAAGCAAGATCAGCTGTGAAGACAAAAGAGAAAGAACCGTGTTAAATATACACATTTCTCCAGGAAAATCCACCAGACTCGACTCCTGCCAGATGGCTGCGAACATGACAAAGTCAGTATCAAAACAGGCTCACGCTTGCTCTTTTTCAGAAACTGAGGACAACTGACGTTAGTCAGTTTTAAATAATTTATTCAACTAGAGAATGCAAAATAATAATTAAAAAATACAAATTTAGCTCTTAAAAAATGTATCAATAAGGTGCCTCTGTAAGGAAAGGCAGAGTATCGTGTCTGTCCAACTCCACGAGGAGAAACTAGATGCGGGGGCAGGCATGGGACCTGCCACCATTACTCCCAGCAGTCAAATGTTGGCGACTCCAAGGGCTTTGTAATGGTCATTAACCAAGGGCCTTGCAGATATTCCCTAACAAAGTAGAGTTCCCTTGACTACCCTTCCTGATTAGTAGCCTCACTACCCAGGAATTGGCTCCTCTCAACACAACACCCACAAGAACGCTTATAACGTGTGCTGTCACGCTCATCTCAGACCCTAAGATCACCTGCGATCCTAGTCCACACGCTCCAAATGGTTTATGTCACTGCACACCACTGCTTCTCAGACGTACAGTATTCCTAGCTCCCCTCATTCTCTGCCCATGATTCAATCCCATTTCACTGAAAAATCTAGACTTTTTTTTAAAAAAAATATTGAAACAGGTGATTATAGCATCCATAAAACCTTCCAACAGATCCTTAAACCCCTTCCTATCAGGGGAATCAATACTGTCGAGTGAACTTGCTCATAATTAGATAGCAAACAGCTCTCTCATGCTACCAAGTCTGTAATTATTACTATTGTTACATTAATGATCAATACACTGTATTCAAACAAGCAAGCAAGCAAAGCCAGGATCAAGAGCTGGTGGCCTAACTGAAATACCAGCAAGTTCCCTTCCCACGTCCTTTCCACAGTACACGCTGCATCTCACCCATGCCGGGACTGAGACAGCTTCGCTGATCACCTCCAAGCATGGTAACCAGAGCCTATCTGAAGCCTTCACACCCAGGCATCTTCAGTCAAGGGGAACTGGCCAGGGCTTCAATAAAGGCAACAGCTGCAGAGCACGCATCTGATGAATAACATTTACATACTGCAGTCAGAAAGGTTCGCTGCAAACACACTATGTGACCAATCACCTTGCATTACAGCGCTCGTGTGATGAATGAGGCAGAAAACAGCAAAGGGCGGGAGGGCCAGGAAAGCGGGACAGCTGCAGCGTACGGAGGGCCAGCACCACAGGCTTCTGGACTGTGGCCTTCCACAGCCAGTCACACTTTATGCATTAGTGAGGGGCCAACAGATGCCCGAGTTCTGTTCAATGGGCTGAGCCAAAGGTGTTGTTTTCCTAGGTTCTTAGCTCCCCAGGAATATACACTGAAGCGGGTGGTTGTGAACATCATGGACTATGGGGAAATGGACCTGAAATAAGAATTCTTCATTTAGCAGAATTTCAACTACACAATGTGGAACTAGATTTAGAAGACGGAACATAAGATAGTGGTGAAGTGTTCTTGTTTAAAGACAGCAATAGCACTGAGGAACTAAGGACATAAAAGGCTTTAGTGAGGAGACTGACTTTTTTATAATGATGGAGTGAACTCCCTAAAACTGTAAGCAGAATGGTAGTGGCCCACACCTTTAATCCCAGCACTGGGAGGTGGAGGCAGGCAGATCTCTGAGTTCGAGGCCAGCGTGCTCTACAAAGCGAGTTCCAGGACATCCAGGGCTATACTGAGAAACCTGTCTGGGGTAGGAGTAGGGGAAAGACATAAAAACAAAACCAGAAACAAACCTGTGAATTTCCAGGCCTCCCCCCATATTCTATAGGCTTGCAGTAAACCAGGGCCATCCAAGCCTATTAGCAATAGAGCCAGCAGCTGGTAGTACAGCCGGCTAAGATGACTGCGAGATGTGGAAGAACTACCATGGAGGGAGGGAGGGAGGCAGGTTTTGGATGCGGTGTCTAAGCGCAAATAAAATACTAAGAAATTCTATTTCTGAAATAAAATGAACTATATTGTTTTAAGCACCCTTCTTACCATAAAAATAAAACACTTAAATAGTAATTATTTCTCACATATACAACTGAGCTTTGAAAAGGTAGATACAATTGCCAGAGGGCACAGGGAAACTCACACTTGGAGGGCTTGAGGAAGTAATCAATGGCAGTCACCCCAGGACACAGGGAGACCCTAAGGCAGGGAGCCCTGGTTTTAATAATGGGCAGCATCCTAGGGTAACAATCAAGCCTCTGTAAAAGGTAAGGCTGGTTGTGGGCTCCTGTACAGTCAGGCTGGAGCTGCATTGGTACTGGAGAGAAACTGGAAAACAATGTCCCTATAAACAAGGACTGCTGGTCCCGAGCATTCTAAAGCGCAAGTCAGCCCTGGTGCCTCTGAAGCCTTCAGAATATGCCAAGCTAAGGATTTTATTCAAAGGGGGTGTCCATTTACACACAATCTAAAATTGGCTAAATAATTTAAATGTCAGGAAGCACATCAGTCATTTCCTGAGAGTCTGGGTACGGAGCAGAAAGGAGGGAAGGATCAAAAACCCATTGCCATTGTTCTTGAGTTCTCAGTAGTCCTCATTGTCCACTATGTTCAGCAAGTCCGGTTTTATCCCAGGCTCTTTTAGACTCAGGCCAGCTGGCCTTGGTGAGTTCCCGATAGAACATCCCAATGTCTCAGTATGTGGGTGCACCCCTCGCGGTCCTGAGTTCCTTGCTAGTGCTCTCTCTCCTTCTGCTCCTGATTTGGACCTTGGCTTTGGGGGAGCCTAGGCAGTTTGGATGCTCACCTTACTAGACCTGGATGGAGGTGGGTGGTCCTTGGACTTCCCACAGGTCAGGGAACCCTGATTGCTCTTTGGGCTGATAAGGGAGGGGGACTTGATCGGGGAAGGGGGAGGGAAATGGGAGGCGGTGGCAGGGAGGAGGCAGAAATCTTTAATAAATAAATAAATTTTAAGAAAAAGAAAGGAGGGAAGGGTTTTCAGGGACTAGAGAAGACTGCCTTTGAAGGGTGACAGGACTGGGGCGTGTAAGGTCATACAGAGCCCACATTTGCCAAAATTTATTAAACTGTGTGCTTTAGGCACGGCTTGTTTTTATGTAAATACTGCAAGAAATCTCAAAAGAATGGGATAGCTGGGACAGAACAGGAAATAAAAACAGGCATAGTGCTGTCTGTCTACAATCCTAGCATCCTGGAGTCGGAGGCAAGAGGAGTGCAAGTTTGAGGACACCTGCAGGGCACATCATGAGCCTGTCTCCAAGCAAGTAAGCAAGCCAATGGTGAGCTGAGGAGCAGGTTAGACATACATGAGGACCAGTGAATTGAAAATCAAACAGGCAAAATTACACAGAATGCAATAGGATGCTATTAAGAGACACTGAAAACAGAACAATTTCTGAAATAAATTTAATTTAATGTCCAAAAAAGCAAATGAAGAGAATGAGGTGAGATGACAAGCAATGGGAAAACAGCCGAGGGTTTTGTGTGTCTGTGTCCACATTCTTGCATGCACGGCCTAGGAATGGGTGTGGTGGTCACAGGCCAGCACCAATGTCATTCGGACCCTCAGGCACCGTCCACGCTGTTTTCTCTCACTGGGCTAGAGCCCACACACCACACCCTTGTCTAAGATCTATAAAACCTCCCTGCCTTAGCCCAGGCACGTGACTTTTCTGGCCTGGTTCTTGAGGACAGGCAATCCACCCAGGAACAACACCCTATGAACCTGCATTTATCTGTTTTTAATCTGGTCTGATTTGGCCTTTTGCACTGCAGAAATATATAACATTATGGATTCTTCCAACCCAAGACAAACAAAAATAAAAGCAAAAGCAACAGCAACAAAAGACAAGAGATAATACTAACCACAAAATATGACCAAAAATAAGTCCAGATATACCACCAATCAGGAAATGAATGCCAGATTGGTCACGACCAAAAATCTAGGTGTATACATCACAGGAACACAGAAAAACTGGAAATAAATGCAAAAACATTTACTAGGAGAACAGCAGCTAAAAGGCTACAGACAGAACTGTGAGACACTAATCAGGTGCAAAAGGCTACAGACAAAACGCAGGGCTCTGAAAGGCGGATCATTACATGACTTTACCAGGAAATTAATTTTAATCTAGCACACACCACATTACCACAGCGTCACAGTAAACAGAATTCTCAGAAGACTGTGGCAAGCTTCTCAGTGATCACAAAGCCAGTCACAGAGACTGGAAAAGGAGCCACTGTGCTAAGGAAAGACAGTGAAGAAAGGAAGGGTCCTGGAAGGAAGCTACCAACCCAGAGGGATTCCTATCACCTGTGGTTTCTCCCCACCCAGCAACAGCAGCCCTTTTCTCCTAAAGAATGAACACAGGCTGCTACTGCACTCACTAGACAGCATCTCAGGAAACAGGCTGCAACTGTGTTTCTGTTTCTCCCATTTTAAAAGACAAACAAGGACAGAACACAGACACCCAAACATAGAAGTTACTAAAGGAAGCAGAAACAGCAAAACATAAGGGAGCCGATTGTATAGACTTTCAGATTTCCTTCTATTTGTGCTTCTGTGTTAAACAAACGGATCACTAAAGGACAAATGCACAAGCGAGCTGTGCATTCACACATCTGGAAATGAGAAGGACCATACGCTCAAGTCAGACTCACCTCTGAACTGCCAGCTGAATGTAACAACGCAACCTAGCCAACCTTGTCCTAGACCTGTATGGACAGCAGTCTGGAGCCAAAGGCCTCCACAGACAACAGTTGTAACATGCTCAGTTATAAGGCCTCTGCAGAAACAACAGTTACCAAAAACAAAAGTGGCCTCTGCCTTTGATGCCAGCACTGGGGAGGCAGAAGCCTGTAGATCTGAGTTCTAGGCCAGCCAGATCCACATAGTAAATTCCAAGACAGCCAGAGCTACACAGAGAAACTCTGAAAAAAACAAACAAACAAACAAACAAACAAAAAACCCAAACAAATCTGTACGTTTATAATGGCAATCGCCTTTGGGGGGTATTTTGAAATTGCCTCTTAGGTACAAATTCTATCATGGATAATTAAAATGCTAATGAAGGAAAAACTTACAGCACTTTTCTTGGTAGTAAACAAGGAACAAATGACAGAAATACACAGTAACGGTTTGCCCTCCTAAGGAAATAATGGAGTCAGGCAGGATCACCAGGGTCTTCACCTGGCAGAGGGACAGACAAATGCCTGTGTGTCCTACAGAGGTAAACAGTTACTGTGGTGTGCTTAAGACAAAAAGAAACCAAAACCACAGAACAAGCCCAGAATCTGACAATCCTGGTGATTTGCAACCACTGTTTACACAGGACAGACAGAAACCAGACAGACAGCACCATGAAGATGACGTCAGCAAACCTAGGATGTGAGGTAATCTACAAAGGGCCAGTCTGCACAAGTGTGCCACAGGAAGTCCTCTGTAAATGAAGAAAACATATTAAAGATATGAGGTATATGAGGAAATGTGAATGTATAATATTTAATGATGGCATTAGAGTTATCCTTAAAATACTCATCTTTTGGAGAAATGTATCAAATACACATGAAATTATTAGGTAGCTGATTTACTTAAGCAGACTGATGAAAGGGAATAGGATATAGATGAAATCTAATTGTTAACACCTTCATGTTTCTACAAACAGATTTTATTAAAGAGTCAAGAAAAGGACAACCAACTTTACTGCCATGCTTCAGTTGGGTCCTTGTTCAATGTACTTATAAGAATACCAGAAACTGAGCCAGGCGGTGGTGGCACACGCCTTTAATTCCAGCACTCTGGAGGCAGGGGCAAGCAGCTGACTTCTGTAAGTTCAAGGCCAACCTGGTCTAGAGCTAGTTCCAGGAGGCGCTTCAGAGCTACAGAGAAACCCTGTCTCGAAACAAACAAACAAACAAGAATACCAGAAACTGGTCGGGCGTGGTAGAGCATACGTCCAGTCCCAGCACTTGGGAGGCAGAGGCAGTGGCTGAGGTTCCCTGAGTTCACAGCAAGGAATACCGAAAGCTGGTTATTTCACATCCACATGAATGCTTTATATATATCACAATGGCTTTAAAAACGTCTTCTGAAACACACAAAACATATTCCTCTCCCCACCATTCGCTTCCTTGGGCCTGTCTTAAAATAATTCAAAGGATTAGGTAGGGGTGCAGAAAGAGAAAAAAGGCTCGGGGCTTATAATTGCTGAAACAGCGGGTCACGGGAGGTCGTTACATTATTATCTTTTCTGCTTTACACTTTCTCATTTAAACTCTTCTAAGGTAGCCTAAACAAGTCAGGAGCTCAGGTGTTTCCAAGGAAAGCAAGACGAATGCTCCATCTCCTACTCGTGTGTGCTCACTTGGTGCTAATTCACTGCAGACGATCTGTGCACCTTTTGGAATGCACGAGGCAAAGCAATAAGCAACTGTCAAGAAAAGAGAAACGCTCAAGGACACTCTCCTTCAAGGACCTCTCCAGGACCAGCGGACAGCGCCAAAGACACAACACACCGGCTGCCGCACCAATGGGAGTCCACAGGAACAAATGCCTCATATCGGCCCTCCTTCCTCCTCCAATTAGCGAGCCCGAACCCACCACCTCACGGCCCGCCCATCGCGATATCCAATCACGGCGCTCCACATGAACGCACGCTCCTCGATAGGTCCGCGCCCAGCGCAGAAAGAGGAGCATTTCTCTCAAGGACCTACACTGCCATCTACTGCCTGATCAGCGGGGATGCAGCCACAGGGGCACCCGGAGCAGGCAGCAGGCAGGATCAGATTTCAACCTTGTTAAAGCAAGCAGTCATGACACACAGAAAAATGTGCTTGTATGAATCAGAGGTGGGAGCAGTTACACAATGGGAAAATACGGTCTCTGAAGGTTCCTTTTTCTTCCAAACAGTCTGAATTCAAACTTTACTTCACATCAAATAATATATACAGGGTCTGACACAAGGGACCCAGGGACTTACTCATTACACATATTTCTAAGATGAATGTTTAGGAACTAAGGCAGACACCACACACCCTCGATTTATGGCTATGGACACGGACTGCGACAGATGGAAGTGGTAAAATTGAGACACAAACCCAGATGCCAGCCTCTTGGGTGCACAATCCACATTACACTTCTTAAGGAAGGCAACAAGGCCAGATAACATGCCAGGTGGTGGTGGCACAAGTCTTTGATCCCAGCACTCGGGAGGCAGAGGCAGGGGAATCTCTATTGAGCACGAGGCCAGCCAGCCTGGTCTACAGAACTAGTTCCAGGATAACCCGGGCTACACAAAGAAACTGTTTCTTAAAAAAAAAAAAAAAAAAAAAGTAGGAAAACAGTTCTGACTGGGTGTAGCAAGGTACTGAAGGGGGAGGGGGAGGGGCAGCAATACCTGGAGGTGTTCGGTAAATGGTAATTTACTTTCCCAAGTATTGCTTTTAACGGAGAAGATACAACTACCCCATGATATTTATGTGTTACACATTATCAGCCTCATTCTTTGGCAAGCAAATCGTTTATTCCTGTAGCCAGGACAAAGATCCCTAGATTTGTGTCCGTATAATAGATCTCACAACTGTCCCGAACACAAGGCACATACAGTGGCTGTCTCCTCTTCCTCATCTTTCCTCCACACTTAGGAAAACGTTTAAAAAGCTTTCCCAGAATGCATCATTCCTTTACTTGTATTTTCAAGCACTGTGGATACTTCATGTATGGCACTTGAGAACGATCTTTGCTATGTAATTATTTGAAGACACACTGGAATTATCACTACAACAGTGACTTCAGAGGGCGCCTTCACATGTGTAGATTATTTATGACCTTCACAATGACTGGAAGGCACAGCTGGTACTTTTTGGACAGAAGACAGAGAACTGGTATACCGTGCAATGCTGTGGACTCTCCCCACAAAACCCTGCCTCTGCCTGGAGCCAAGATCTCAGCATAGAGGGAGACTGCAGCAAGGCCTGGGAACAACCCATGCAGATGGATGGAGAGCGAGGTATTGGTGTGAAACTTATTTCTGGGTAAGGATCAAGGGACATCTAACACCCATATCCTGCTTCTAATAGCACTCCCCACTAAAGGGACGAGCGTTCCCAAGAGGGCTGGGTGCAGGGCGAGGGAAGGGAGGGACGGTGGCCTACAGCGCAGGGAAGCGAAGCGAGTGAGAAGCAAGCGAGGAGAAGGAGAACATGGAAACTGACTGGAAAGCACTCACACTACCAGCCAGGCAGGCTGGGACACCGGACTTCCAAATAATTCATGATAGCAATGCACCATTAAAAAAACCATAAACCAACAAAATGTCAATGACAGATAACTGAGAAAGAATCACAAAAGCCAGGTCTGCTGCCTCAGAAGACAGAGCTGAGCAGTAGTATGGAAGGGGGTGGAGTCGGGAAACCATCACCTTGCAGCCTTCACGGTACAGACTTAGCCTAGATGCACGGATGGGAAAACACCTAAGGGAAACCTAGAGAAAAGCAGCAGAATATCATCACTATGTTAATGTACCCCTACTTCCAGGCTACTAGGCAAGAGAGAGAAAAAGCAGCCAAGGCTGCAGTGGAGGAATCAGACACAGTGACAGGAGACGGAAGCCCACACGGCTAGTGGAGGCACACAGACATCCAGATGACACACCGACAAAGTCACAGCAGCAAAGAGTAGTGTGCCTGGGGAGGCAGACTGGAGTTAACCATTAAGAAAAGGTAAGAACAGCATGAGCAATAAGAAAGGAGAAGGAATAATTTCAAATTAAATAAGACTTGATTTAAATGCAATGCGAACCTGAAATGGATCCTGTATTAGAGGAGAAAAATGTGGTAAAGGACATTTTTGGAGTCAAGTGACAGAAAAGACAGGAAAAAAAAGTATTAATTAATGAAGTCAAAAAATGTACTATGGTATATAACATGTTGGGTAATACATGGCTATATAACGTGTGAAACAAAATCAGATCATTAAAAAGCATGTGCACACCTCTCTGACAGGGACATAACAGGTCACGCACACACACGACAAAATGAGAAAGCAAAAACACATACATCAAAATGGTAACAAAAAGTGAAGATGGGCAAAGGGTAGGGAGGAACTCGCTAATTTTCTGTAAGCTGAAAATTATTCCCAGGGGCTAGGATATGGCTCAGCAAGTAACAGTGTTTGCTGGACACGCACAAAAACTTGAGTGTGAATCCCCAACACCCACAGAAAAGGCCTTGGTAGCATTTACACAAAAGGCCACCATCTGTGAACTATGACAAAGAAAGGAGGGGAACAGAGGGTAAAGGGTGAGCTTACTCCTGGGAAGACATTGTGTTTTCGTGGCCTCCAGGAGAGGGCAAACTTTCTTTCAGGTCTGTCATTTGGCAATGATAGTTAAGAAAACAATGAGGTTAAAAATTAAAAAAAAAAAAAAATCGTACAAAGTATAAAATTCCATAAAATGGAGACAGGCTGTGTGAAAACTACATGACATGATGAATGAAAAGCAAGAAGGAATCGTTTACACAAGCTCAGTAGGATGATTATCAACATGACACAATGAACGAAAAGCAAGAAAGAATTGCTTACACAAGCTCAGCAAATAACAAAGGCAGTATGAGGGACTCAGGGTCAGCAAAAGTGATTCCTTTCAGGACGTAAAACGTACTTCTGTGAGCTGAGTCATCATAAAACTATCTTTCCATGCATGTTTCATGTGAGCATGATGTGAGACAAAGGAATGACTACAAGTGACAGAACACAGCAGCACCTACCTAGGTGGCATTGCTCCTTCTCTCTGGCTTCCCACTGGTGGCTGTCCACGTATGCTGCGGAAAGTAGGCATCTTTTACCTGGGGAAACAAAGACAAGCGTCTCAACAGGCATGCAGTTTAAAAGATGTGCTTTACTGAATACAGCTTCTGTTGTATTTGCAGCCTCCAGCTTAGGCATTTAAACTCGAACGTGGTACTATAATGGATGCTGCACAGTTCACACCAAATCGCAGGAAAGTCTGAAAACCTCCTCAATAGTTTCATAGGCAAAATTGCTGGTCATCTTAATCTTTTAATGATAAAACTGAAAGTCATTTTACTATCAAATTACAGCCTAGGTTTTCAGGGTCCTAAAATTCTTCATTATCCCCCAAATAACCTGTTGAACTATTGCTAAGTCATTAACTGGAAGTGTTGTTATCAATCCTGAAAACATTTCCATTTGATTCTGATTAGCAAATCTGCCCTTATTTTGCATAACAAAAAAGTATCATATCAGCCCCAGAACCCCTGAGGAGAGGAAAGAAACCTGAAAGCTAAACTGGAAGCCTCACAGGGGACAGAGCTGGACTCCTGGTGGCTGGCACAGTGCCGGGCATCAAAAGTACTCAATGAACACTCAATACACGACCTCCTGGAACAAACGAGAAGGACCTGATGACAGTCTCAGCAAAAGGAAAACCTTCTATACCTACAAGGATACTCTCAGAAAAGTGATAGAAACCTACAACATTGAAAAATAAAATAAGTAACTTTCATCAGGAAATAAAGCACCTTTACAATTTAATAATACAGGACAAGCCAATTGAAAGGTTGGGCAAAAGATTTGAGCAGAGAGTTCTCAAAAAACAAAACAAAACAAAAAAACCAAAAAATATGCTGGACCTGGTAATACAAGCTTGTAATCCCAGTCATGAAGAAACCGAAGCAGAAGAATCCCAAGATCAATATCTTTCTGGGCTATAGCATGAGTTCAAGGCCAGCCTAAGTAACTTAGTCCCCAAAACAGCAAGTACTGGTCCAGTATGATGGGTCAGGGGGGTTAGGGGACTGTTGTTAAAACTGGCAACCTGAGTTCAAAGTTGGGACCTCACATGATAGAAGGAAAACTGACTCCTGAAGGCTATTCTCTGGCCTCCACATGGGCCACAGCACATACATGTTCCCCTCCCCTACGAAGTAAATAAATAAACAAACGTATTTAAAAATTATAATAGTACAAAAGGATCTGGGGCTATTAGTGAAAGAAAGCTAACCCAGCATATGTGAGGTCTTGTGTTCAATTCCCAATATCATATACACCACACCATACACACACTCACTACACACATATACACACACTCATATATTCACATACACCACATTTCATACTCACACACATACACCAAACACAAATTCACATTCCCCCTCCCCACATGCTATTGTTCCTCCATGTCTGAGGAATTAGCTCCAGGATTTCCCATAGACATATGAGTTCTGACATAAAATGATATTAAAAAAAAATGCATGGTGGCGCATGCCTTAAACCCAACACTCACAGGAGAATCTCTGTGAGTCTGAGGCCAGCCTGGTCTACAAAGCAAGATCCAGGCCAGGCAGGGCTACATAGAGAAACCCTGTCTCAAAACACCAAACCAAATCAAAACTAGCATAAAATGATGTAGAATTTGAATATAACTGAGGTACACCTTTCTAAATTTTAAGAGTCTCTGCTATATTACTTATAATACTCAATTTCATGAGAACAACTATGCAAAGAGCTGTTTTGTTTGATTATTTAGGGGATAGTGACAAGAAAGGAAAAAAATAACCACACATTCAGTCCAAGTGTAACTTTGTGTTTGTGTGTGTGTATGTGTGTGTGTGCAAGTGCATATACCCATGAATGTCAAAAAAGAACCTTGGGTTCCCTGAGATGGGGATAGGCAATCGTTAGCTACCCAGGGGTGCTGGGAACCAAATTCTGGTCCTCGGCCAGAGCAGTAAGCACTCTCTAGGCCCCAGATGCAATTTTTTAAAAAGTATTTTTTGATTTGTGATTGGCTGAATTAAAAAAAATGCGGAACTTGTGATTATGGACACAACACACAGAGAGACAAGCAAAAATGGTTACCATCACTGGCCACTAGGAAAATACAAAGCAAAGCTGCCCACTATGAAGATCACAATCATAAAGCAGAAGATACAGCTATGGGTAAAATCAGAACTTTATACATCTCTGGTGAGACTATACTGGGGTGCAAGTGCTTGGAAAAACAGGCAGAACCCAAGTGTTATCACAATAGCCAAGTGACCTAGTAATTCTACTCTTAGGCAGATATAAGAATGAAAACTTAAATTTACATCAAATTTATACACCAGTGTTCATGGAAGCATCGTTAATAATGGAAAAAAAGCAGAAGTGCCCAAAATATCCACAGGTTATAAGGATACATTATTTAGCAATTTAAAAATAAGAATCTTGAAAATATTCTGTTAAGTGAAAAGATATCAGTCTCTTCCGTGAAACATCAGAATAGGCTAATCTAGAGAGCAAGGAGGTTACTCGTTGCCTAGACCTGGGAATGGGGTCTGGGAAAGTGAGAGTAACTGGTAACCGATAAAGATTTCTTTGGGGGTGTGATAAAAATATCCTAAGTTGGTTGTGCAGATGCTCGCACAACTCTACTTACTTAGTAGACCAGTGGCCTTAAACTCAGAGATCCACCTACCTCTACCTCCCTGGTGCTAGAATTAAAGGTGTGTGTCACCACGCCTGGCTTTTAATCGAATGTCTCCAAGCATTTGTTGTTGGAAGATCAATAATGTGACTGTGGAAATAGACAAGCTTTAGAGTCACAAGTTAACTTCTAATCCTTGGTTTGCCAGTAATAAATGCTACGAAAAACTGATCAAATCACACAGCACCTCTGTCTTTCATCATACACAGAATGAGGGAATCTCATTTCAATTTCAGCATGGTAGTTGAGGACTCAGTCTCTTAATGTCTACTAAATAATGGTTGTCAGCATTCAGACGAACCTGAGGGCCCCTTGAAGACCTGACAGAGCAGGGCAGGCAGTATCCTGTCACTTTAGAAGGCTAAGCTCCACCTACTTCTCTCTCTTCTCTCTCTACTTCTCTGTCTCTTCCCTCCCCTTCCCCCTTTATCTAATAAAACTCCCCACTTAAGCTCTGTCTGTGTGGAATATTTGTCTCTTGCTCCCCAGGAGGCCCCTGGGCTCTCACCCACCAGTCCTTCGTGCCCAGAATCCTATCAATGGTGTAAGCGTCCACCCTCCATCCTTTCCATTACTTGTCTTTATTGTTCTACCTCAGTTAACTTTTCTTCCAACTTTTTGATCATTTTAGCTGTTTCTCATCGTATATTAAGTAGACTAGATAGAAGTCTCAGCGTTCCATATGCCAACTGGCCTGTTATGAGTTTGTACAAAGCAGAGTGCTTTACCAGATCAAACATTTCAATATGTCTAAGTCAAGCCATTTATCCACATACCCAAATCCTTGAGTCCTGTGAATGTATATTGTCTCCCTATAGCCTCCACCCATGGCCTAATGTAGTGTTTGTCCGATATAACTTACTGTCGTGATGGAAATGTTCTATTCTAAGCTGTCCAAGTAAAAGACCGCCAGCTACATAGATCCACTAAACACTTAAAACACTTTCTACCACTAAAAAACTTAGTTTTTAAATATTTTTCAACTTAAATTTAAATAGCTACGTGTACTAGCAACTACCATGTTGGAATGGCACAGGTGCAGTACAAGTCTGCTAGTTTGAACTGAAATCAAGCCACTAAGTTAAAGGTTCTCTCAAGTTGCTCCATGCAATCTCCATTACCTTGTTAGAATGGTTGTCCCAGACATTATAAGCAACCAACATACTCTCCCTTATCTACTAAACAGGGTCTTAGTAGATTTCAGAGAACTTACTAGCAATCATAATTAAATATAGTAAGTAGCTCTACAGAACATTCTTACTTTAGTACCAAGTATTGTTCGTACCAATTTGCCAAATGCATGATATACAACCTTTTAACCACGTAGTGCAACCCCTAAATCTTCAGAAAAACTCTTGAGGTCAACTATGAAGTTTCTTAAGGGCTGTACAGAAAGCAGTGTGAGCAAGTGTGTATTGTTTTTTTAAAAGCTGGCGTTAAGGCAGGTTGACTGAAAGGAGATTAGCAACATTGGAAACAACCAAGCGTGGTTAGTACATTTTACTCCTATAATTCGGCATATCTTCAAGGATTATGAAGTTGTAACCATTGCAAACCTGGCTTCTTTAAATACTTTAAAATGTGTTTTCATCATCAGGTCCACTATAAAGGCTTTGAGTGGCGCGCAACTCAACTCAGACAACAAAGTGCTCTTCGGGTAACTATCAACACTTGTTCACCTACACGTGGGAAATGGCAAAAATAAATTGTGGCAGAAGTTGTGACTAAGGTCACTGGGGAAAGCCAAGTTGGTAATGAAATATTCTTTCACGAGGTGAAGAACGGGGATCTGAACCATCAAATACGAGGCAGTGATCAGGCAAAGAAAACTTTAGCCTGATGCCGCTCCAAAGAATTCTCAGGTGGAAGAAAACTATTCTGACCCCAGGTGTGAACATAATTTGGATTTTTCATGGTAAGCAAAATGTCTACTGGCTTAACACATTAAACCTGCAAGACATACGCAAAATCTCTCACGCCACGGGCTTCCTTTACTTCACATAATTTTGGACTGGCAGGTACTAATTCTTAAAGGAAATTAGTTCCTTTTCCTTTCTACGCTACCAATAACCTAAGCGGCTTCTCTAGCAACCGGATCCCAAAAACATTTACGCCCTTTTTGAAAGCTTATCGCTCCCTTCATTCAGTGAAGAGCGTTTTGAGGGGCCTAATGGAGCCGCCCCTCCAAGACAGCAGCCACCAACCTGCCAGGGAAAGGTGAACCGTAGCTATTCTCCGAGCCAGGAGCATCCCACACCGCACCATGGGGGCCGCCATCTTGAAGCGTACCAAGTGGAACACCGGCCCGGGGGTCAGAGCCAGAGGTGGGCGGGGCAGGGGCAGAGCCCGCCTCCTCCGGAAGTGGACCGCCTCGGGCCCTTCCCCCTGTCCGGGTGCCGCAGTTGGTGCGGTCCGGGCCGGGACAACATGGCTACGGTGTTTCGGCCCCTGGAAAGGTTGCGGGCGCCGCGTCCTTCGTTGCATCCCGGGGTGACAGGCTCAGGCTCCGCTTGTGGCCGCTGCACTCTTGGAGGTACCCGCGTCCTCACGATGTGGAGAAAGGGAGGGTGGAAGAGAAGGGAGCGTGAGACCCCAGCAGCATCTCTCTTTGGAGAAGGCTCGGGCGACCTTTCCCTCTGACTGCACGTGTGTGCAGCCCGGTTTGCTGAGGACCCCAGTTGGTGCCTGGAAAGCAACGGGCAGCTAGGGTCCGGACTCGGAATGATCCACGTTGCTCTTAGAGAGCTTTCCTCACTCATTGTGTTTCCTTTTCTGCTAGGTTTTGGTACAGAGTTTAAGAGACGAGAACCCTAGCTGTGCTCCTTACATTCTGAAAGACTCGAGGCAGGCTTCCTCATCCCCCCAAGTTATTCCTTACTGCTTTCCTGAAAATATTAAACATGAGACTGCTACTGAATGTTGTGATGTATTTTACATATATGAATTTCTTTCCTTCAGTCAGCATCCAATGACAGACAGAGGTTGTACCTTTACAAAACAGGAAACAGGCAAGACTGTCACTTGCCCAAGGACACAAAAAGCTGGCAGAGGGAGTATTTGAACAAAAGACCCGGGTCTGACAGCTTCACAGGATTCCCTTTTCATAAATAGCTTTTATTATTATTATTATTATTATTATTATTATTATTATTACTACCGTGTCTTAGCAGAACTCAGTGCACGGTTTTTTGGCTAAGCTTTATATGTTTTTGTCTCATGCATAGCCAAAGATACTGAAGAAGGGTACATTCCAGACTTGCTAAGCTGTGGTCAGTAATTTCTGATATAAGGCTACTTGAGTCCGGATCTAAAAGGCCATCCTCAATTCAGAAGTTACAAAGCCAGAAGTCTCGGTGTAGCTTTTTTCAACATCTCATGCTTCTCAAACCAAGATAAACCAAATAGAAAAAAAAAAAAGCGTGTGTGTGTGTGTGTGGTGTCTGTGCAGTTACTAGCCCTTACCTAGATGGCAAATGCCATGGAAGTTTGTTCTTCACTTCTCATGTGTCAACCAGTCTTCACATTCTGTTAATCATTACCTACTTTCAAACGTAAGACTTTTGCCAAAATTTGAGTTCAGTAGTAGAATGGAGATGTTTGTTTCCCCACCAGGAATACTGTAATATTTTTATCTGTCTGGATGGATCATTTATTAATATAATAGGTAAAGATGAGTTCATTGGAGTCAACCAAGCTCTAACCTATGTTATTTCCTAAGGGGGAAAAAAAAGACAATCAAAATAATTTCACTTATTTTCTTTTCCTATTCTTTAGCTAAAAGATACCTACTCACAGACAGCATTGTGAAACTGAAGGAATTCCAACAGAAGAAAGTGGCTATTGCATGTAACCTTCCCAGCACCAAAGGTAGTAGTAGTATCTGTTTCGTTGACTCTTTCATCCGTTTGTCATTCAAACTTCCTCTTTTTCTCTATCTGTTCTTTCGAGACCTACCACATAGAGGGGAAAAAAGTGAACATTTGCTTAGTTTTCTAGTCTACCTTTCCTCTCACATGAGCCCTGCCCCCAGAATCCCAGGGAAATAGTGAAATTAGCCCTGTGCCCAGTTGTCTAGTCTGTGCCACTCAGTATGATTTGAGGATCAGCATCAGCATCAATTGGGAGATGGATGGAGATACAAATGGAAGGGCCACAGATGATTTGTATACACTGTATAGTTCAAGAATCCAGGTGACTGGCCTTTAAATGTTGAGTAATCCTTGGTGAAACATAGATTTATGATCTACTTGTAGGTGAATGAGACCCCCTTGTGAGAGTGCATTTTGGCATTTTCACATTGTAAAATCTGGGATTTGCTTTGAAAAGTTCATTGTGTTTAGAGTTTATAGAAGAATCAAAATTAGCAAACTGTTGGTATTTGTTGAGGCTGGTTGGCACTTGGTGGTCATTATATTGTTCTTTCCTACATTTGAGAGATAGGTCAGGATCTAGGAGTGTTTGTCGCTGTTCCAGAGAACCTGAGTTCAGTTCTTAGCACCCATGTGGGGCGGCTCACATCTGCCTAGAACCCTTGCCTTCAGGTGGTCCAATGTCCTCTTCTGGTCTTTGCAGGCTGAAACATGCGCAAATCCATGCTCACACACACATATAAGCATATAATTAAAATATTTTTAAAATTTAAAAAGCAGTGAAAACCCAAGGCCACTGGTTCCTTACGCCCTAGTGTCTTTAACACCGTGGCAGTCTTGTTGCGTTCATTTTCTCTGTGCTGCAGGTGAAATTGTTTCAGAGCTTCAAGCTCCTTTATAAGCATAGCTAAGACTTCCTTCTGGCTTTTGTTGTTGTTTCGCTTTTTAAAGACCTCTTGTTTTTTGCTGTTGAATTGTTATAATTAAATTTGCTCTTAGAAGGCAGTTTCACATATGTCTATGACACATGCTGACCACTTTCACCCTCCAGTTCCCTACCACCCCTCCAAATTCTTCTCTCACATCCACGTCTGTTTGTTTTGTGACCCACTAAGGTTAATTCTGTTGACTTCTTTGGATATAGGTTCCACTTTCCTTCCTCTCGCTGCCAGACACTGCTGAGCAGCTGAGAAACACTCGTGGCTCCATCTCTCTCATCCCAGTCTCCACTCACTGTTACGCCACTGTGGGATTTTATCTCCAGCTGAATACACTCAATATGAGTTCACTGAAGTGTCTCCTTTTTTATTTCTTTTATGTATTTTTAAAGATTTATTTATCTTTGCTTTATGTATATGGGTGTTTTACTTGTATGCGTGTCTGTGTACCATGTGTGTGCAGTGCTCACAGAAACCAGAAGAGGGTGTTGAACCTTCCAAAGTGATGCTACAGATACTTGTTAACTGTCATGTAGATCCTGGGCACTGAGCCTGAATCCTCTGCAAGAGCAACCAGTGCTCTTAACTTCTCAGCCATCTCCAGTCCCCCAACTTTCCTTTTTGTTTTGGGTATTTTTGAATTACGTGAGGTTTGCGGTTAGGAAGCACTCCCTGCTGTGGGCTGTTTGTTGTGTCTAATTGTCATGGTCTTCACAAAGCTGTGACTGCTGTGAGCATGTTCTGATATGCAATCTAAAAGTCAGTGCCTGTCTACTCCACTGTCAGACTGATGGTTATGTAGCCCTCACACCATTTCAGTTTTAGGAGCCCACAATGACATCCTTTTCCATGCCACACTTTGTACAGATGTTTCCATAACAGAGTTCATTGACATTCCTCCACTTCCATGAACCTTCCATCTGTCCTGCTGCTGGGAATTCCAACAGATATCAAAGTCAGAGTCTTCTTACTGTGTTTGTATTGTTTCCATGCTTTGTATAGCAATAGCCTATCTTCCTGGGTAGACTTCAAGCTTTGTGGGAGGAGCCATTAATTCTGTGTGACAGACACATTGCTCTCATTGTGATTATATGGTAAATACTTGAAAACCAAACTATTAAGGTCCAATTTACATTTTTAATGTTTTAAATTCACAGGGTTTCTTAACAATTAAGCGGTGCAGAATGCAAAATATTGCTTTGAAATCTTTTAGATGAAAATTGCTTAAAAATCTCTGAAGTTGCATTGTTTAGATCAAACAGGCATAGGATGAAAATTAGGTTGCTAATGCCGTTGCTTACCAGCAGTTATGGTATGTGGGCCCTGTACCAGATGCTTTCTGTGTATACCCTCATATAATCCCATGAGCTGTAGGTATCATAGTCCTCTATTTATGCCTGAGAAATGATGTCTCAGAGACAAAGGTATTCACAGAGCATATAAGTGGAAGGACATAGATCTGCTCAGGTCCTTGCATCTGTAAAACAATTACGTGGTTCTGAGAAGAAAGATCGAAAGACCCAGCGCCTTGGTCGTAAACCACGTTGGTCTTTCCTGTACACCAGGAGCAGTGTGATCTGCTCAGGTCCTTGCATTGCAAATGGACGTTGTGCGGCTACTTCAGCAGCTTTCCTTGAAAGCTCTGGACTTGTAACCAATCCTGAGATACTTCTGTAACTCCTGAAATGAGAATAGCCCTGTCTGTTGCCTCCTGTGCTGTGTTTCCCAACAGTACTGAGGAAAGTAATCCACAGAAGCCATGTTCCCTTTGATGTTCGTTCCATAGAAGCAGAACTCTAGAGGTTCCTTCCCATCAGTGCAAAGACAGGGACCAAAATAGATAGTGATGACCTGAAGATGATTCGGTCACTAAAGAGTGCTACTGTTGCCAGGCGGTGGTGGCGCACGCCTTTAATCCCAGCACTTGGGAGGCAGAAGCAGGCGGATCTCTGTGAGTTCGAGACCAGCCTGGTCTACAAGAGCTAGTTCCAGGACAGGCTCCAAAACCACAGAGAAACCCTGTCTCGAAAAAACAAAACAAAACAAAAAAGAGTGCTACTGTTTAGAGAACTGGTTTGTTTGGTTTGGTTTTTTTCCCCTCTGCCCATCCTATGGTAGTCTGGTTACAGTAAAGACAGGCCATGGGGATGAGAGAGGAAAAGCTAAACCAATTGCAAGAATACAAAATATTCCTGAATTACATGGTCTGACCACTGGCTAAATCCATGATGAATTTGCATTTCCTTTTACTTCCCTTCTTGAGATCCGGCTCATTGATGGTCTTAGTATCTGGCTGCACATTCTCCTCCTGTTGTCAGTCACCTATGGTTTTGCTTATTAGGGCTGCAATAGTAGTTGTTAAACTTGTGTGTGCCTGAGTGTCACCTAAAGCATGCCAAAGGCACTCCTACACCCCTCAGTTTGTGATTTCCAGAGACTGGGGTGGACTAAGGCCCTGAATTCCCTATGGCACAAA